TGACTACTGCAAGTATCCTTGGGTCAGTTTCTTTTTCGAATTTTTTAACATTCTATATATAAAACTATTATATATAGACTTTATAATATAGTCACATAATTAAATTAATAAAACAAAATTATTATTGATAAATATTACAGTATTTAAAGTATGTTTAAAAATGTCGATATAATACATACTGCTATTTGCAAATAACGATTTCATTTTCATCAATAATTCTTTCAGATACATAGGATTAAAATTTGATCAAATCAACGAACTCCTTCAGAATTTAACGAAAGATAATAAACACGAATTGCAACAAACTAGGAAAAATCCCATGATACATTCTCACCAATGCAGATTTTTGAAAACTCCAAGAAATAAATGTATAATTATCTGGATAGTTATGTAAGAAAATTTACATAATTTCTTAATATACGAGTATCTATATGTATAATAAATTAACTAAACATTCTATTAATTATAGCAAGTTTATTTTGTGAAATTTGATATTGCAGACATTTATATTTTGAATTACACAAAATATCCCGAGAAATGAACACAATATTTGGAACACAAATGACTTTTAAAATGGCGAGTTATTTTATTTTGATAGTGATTGATTTAAATACAATTTTCTCTGCAATACTTATCGACAATTATGTGAAATCTAATAAAATAGCGTGTATTGTTCTATATTTGTTCTGGATTTGTCATAATGTTTGCCAATTTTTGGTCATTAATTACGTGTGCGAAACAGTCAGTACCAAGGTATTTTAAATTTCATTTAAAATTTATTTTTAATAAAAATTGTATTATTAAGTAATATCCAGTTCTAAATTGCTAAATTATAAGCGACTTCAATTTTATTCAACATATTTCAATTTTAGGCAAATGCAACAGCAGATTTATTAAATAGATTATCATATTCTATTTTTGACATTAAAGTCCGTGAAATCGTAAGTTTTAAACTAAGTTAACTACAAATATTATTACAAGAAACATTAAATATCTAAATAAAAATACTATACAAAATATATATTAATAATAACTTATTGTATTAATACTATATAGTTTTCACAATTTTCATTACGAACGACATATGCACCACTTAGATTTTATGGAATTGGATTCTTCGAATTTGGCTTCAAATTTCTTCATAGGGTACGTTATATTTATTATCTAACTACATATTAGAAATAAGAAATCTTGATAAATTTAAAACAAGGGAGAATTTATACATTCTACTTTTCTTTTAGTTTATCATGTCTGTTGCGACTGTTTTAGTTATTGTTATACAAGCGCAAACAAGTAAATAATTTTTAAATTATAACAGCATTCAAAAAAATAATTTTAATAATAATCTATATATGTAGTCGAATTTATAAATCATATTATATGATCTTATCTTCATTATTATCTTTTGAATATACTATAATATCCCTACACTAGAATTAACCAACATAAAAAATCTATGCTATAACACTATACAAATATTCACATAAAAAAATCAAAAAATTTAAGAACAATATTTATATTTTTATTGCGCGCGCGTGTTTTTATAAAAATATAAATATTTTTTTAGAAATATAGTTAACGCACGCAATTATACAAATGTTTAATAACTAGTAGAAACATGTAATATATAATGTAATGTGTTTATTTGTTACTCGTAGACAATCGTTTTTTAGGCAAACAGGACACTCCCAAATTTTTAATATGTACTAGAATCATATAAAGATTTTAAAATAAAAAACATATGCATCAAGAGTAATATTCACATTTTTGCAATATGAACATGTCCAGTTCATGTTAAAACAGGGTGACATATCCA